CATTTACAGGAAAAAACAAAACTTATGAAAATACTCCAAAAAAGTGCCAAAAGTGTCAATGACATACAAATTAGTCATCTATCTGTAAGCTTTGAAACATGAACTTCAATTTTAATAACAAAAAATTATTAAACCATGTAAAAAAAATAAAGTTTCAATTTAGTATTGTTGAAAACTCATCACATTCAACATTTAATCACTCACTCACTTAGATAGAGATGGGTTTAAAGGAAAATTATCATATAAATATAATCTGGTAAAAGCCGGTATCTCTGGGCATTTACAATGTCCCCTGCAACAGAAAAAAAAACCTCTCATTTGGGATTGAGGTTTCTGGGACAAGAGAGATATGACTTGGCCCAGGTTGACAGCAGTGGGTAACGTTGTGCATTGTCTTTCCCCCACTTGAGAGGACAAACCATGAGTAAGATAGAGGTCTCATGTCTGCATCAATCTGAACAGTGTGCTGACAACACTGCTATTCAGTACGCGCGCGACAACACAGCTGATAAGAACTCGCGCGACAACACCGTTATTCAGTACGCGCGCGACAACACCGTTATTCAGTACGCGCGCGACAACACCGTTATTCAGTACGCGCGCGACAACACCGTTATTCAGTACGCGCGCGACAACACCGTTATTCAGTACGCGCGCGACAACACCGCTATTCAGTACGCGCGCGACAACACCGCTATTCAGTACACGCGCGACAACACCGCTATTCAGTACGCGCGCGACAACACCGCTATTCAGTACGCGCGCGACAACACCGCTATTCAGTACGCGCGCGACAACACCGCTATTCAGTACGCGCGCGACAACACCGCTATTCAGTACGCGCGCGACAACACAGCTGATAAGAACTTGCGCGACAACACCGCTATTCAGTACGCGCGCGGCGACAACACCCGCTTTAGAGTTTTCCAGCTCTTTTTCATCCTCGCTTCTACCAGCACACTCCATTTCCGCATTACTGGATCTGTAGCGACAACAGACCGCAAGGGATGATGGTCAAGCATGGGCTGATGGGAATTGTAGTTTTCGCTACCTCCCGTTCGCTTCATTCGCCTGAGCAAATTTTCTCAGAAGACCTATAGTTTTACCGAGTCATGCGACTTCGGTAATATCGAAAAAAATTAATATTGCGGTATGACGGTATTTACAATACCGTTACATCAATAGTAAAACGTTTTTGTAAATTGTTTGGGTTGTGAGAAAATGCAGCTCATTTTAGTAATTTGTTTGGGTTGTGAGAAAATGCATCGCGTTTTATTAATTTGTTTGTGTTGTGAGAAAATGCAGCGTTTTAGTAATTTGTTTGCATTGTGAGAAAATGCAACACGTTTTATAAATTTGTTTGTTTGCATTATGAGAAAATGCATCATGTTTTGGTAATTTGTTTGCGTTGTGAGAAAATGCAGCGCGTTTTCGTAATTTGTTTGCATTGTGAGAAAATGCTGCGCAATTTCGGAAATTGTTTGCGTTGGGAGAATGCAGCACGTTTTTGTAATTTGTTTGGGTTGTGAGAAAATGCAGCACGTTTTTATAATTTGTTTGCATTGTGAGAAAATGCAGCGCATTTTCAGAACTTGTTGGCGTTGTGAGAAAATGCAGCGCATTTTAGTAATTTGTTTTCGTTGTGAGAAAATGCATCGCGTTTTATTGATTTGTTTGTGTTGTGAGAAAATGCAGCGTTTTATTAAATTGTTGCCATTGTGAGAAAATGCAGTGCGTTTTCGTAATTGTTTGCTTTGTGAGAAAATGCAACACATTTTATTAATTTGTTTGTGTTGTGAGAAAATGCAGCACATTTTAGTAATTTGTTTGCATTGTGAGAAAATGCATAGCGTTTTAGTAATTTGTTTGCGTTGCAAGAAAATGCAGTACGTTTTTGTAAATTGTTTGGGTTGTGAGAAACTGAAACACGTTTTAGTAATTTGTTTGCGTTGTGAGAAAATGCATCGCGTTTTATAAATTTGTTTGGGTTGTGAGAAAATGCACTGTGTTTTAGAAATTGTTTGCATTGTGAGAAAGTGCAGCGCGTTTCGTAAATGATTTGCTTTGTGAGAAAATGCAGTGCGCTTTTTTCATTTGTTTGCATTGTGGGAAAATGCAGCATGTTTTATGAAAATGTCTTGCATTGTGAGAAATGCAATGCATTTCTGTAAACTGTTTGCACTTTTTATAATGCCATGCGTTTTAGTAATTTGTTTGCGTTATAAGAAAATGCAGCACATTTTCGGAAATAGTTTGCTTTGTGAGAAAATGCAGTGAGCTTTTTTTCATTTGTTTGCATTGTGGGAAAATGCAGTATGTTTTCTGAAAATGTGCTGCATTGTGAGAAAATCCAATACATTTTATTAATTTGTTTGCGTTATGATAAACTGCAGTGGGTTTTCGTAAATTGTTTGCGTTGTAAGAAAATGCAGTGTGCTTTTTTCATTTGTTTGCATTGTGGGAAAATGCAGCATGTTTTATAAAAAGGTGTTTGCATTATGAGAATTTTCAGCACATGTGCTGTCAAACGGATGGAAATTGTTTCTTAACTTGCTGCCGTTTTTTGTAATTGATTGCGTTTTCTTAAATTTCAGCAAGTTAAGCTCTCTCGGCCACTGTAGAAAAGGAACTTAAAAAAATGCATTAGCTTTTGTGCATATTTTTTAAAACTCCACCTACTTGTAATGCACCATTTGTTGTTAGGCTAATATTTGGATACTGACTTAAATTAAAAATGCTGTACGCTAATGCTAAAAGGCCCATTAATTTTTTTTTTTTTAAATGTGCCAAAAAAGGTGTGTGGCGTAACTGAGAATAATACTTTTTATATGAGAAGAAAACATTGATTCAAGTCATTTCAATGTATTTATTTATAAATTAGGGAATTACCATAGTAACTTCAATATTATAGTTTGGATTATTTAACTTCGGCCCACCCCCTAATTCTGACATACCATAAAAAATTATGTCTCACAGTTCATTGTCGTTGTATTTGCATCTGTATTTTGTACTGTCTGGAGCCAGCACCTAAGCTTTTCACTCATCATAGCACACGTGCTACTGATGATGTGACAACAAAAGTGATTTGACTTGATTTGATTTGATTAGCTGTTGCGTCATTCATTCAAGATTCTGTTCAAAAACGCTGATTCATTCAGTAATGAAACAAAAGAAGTTTTTATGTGAGTCACTAAATCGTTCATTAAAAATCTGAAAAAAGTCAAATTAATTCAATATATTATGATAAACTACAGCAATCTTTAGTACATTACCATGTTATTTAGTTTTATTTCACATAGAAATTTGAAAGAATCCAGCAGCGAATGCAAAATAGGCCAATTGTTTCTGTATTTGCCATGGACAAAATTGTACCAATTTGACAAAAATGTTGATTTGTCTTTTATTTGATTGATAAACTGCTGATAATGTGTCTTTTAACTTAAATATTACACTTTTGTTAGAGCTTAGACATATTTTAAAATAAACCACAAATGAGCATTTTACTGAAGCATATATCTATTAATAGCAAATCCATATAACTAATAAAATCTTTAAAGTGGACTCAGATTTTTCCCCCACATGTGCATAAGTACATTAACATATTTTACTGAAAATGATTTATTTAAAAAATATGAAAAAATAAATAAATAAAATTTCCTCCCTAAAATTATTGAAATTCTGCAATTGTAAAAAAAATCATGCATTTTGTGTAAACATGAAGTAGTGCTTCCTGTATTTTTTTTTTATTATAAATTATTTTATAATCTAAATAATAACCACAACCTAGGCATGGGCCGGTATAAGCTTTTGACGCTATGATAATCTTGGATAAAAATATCAGAGTGTTGCTATTACTGCTTTAAAATATATTCATTTTAAAATGTCTTCATAAAACATTTTACCCTTTGAACACAATATATTTTATTTTAAGAAACATTTAAAGTATTTTGGAACAGTAAACATGTCAGGCTAAATCATTCAAATTTATTATTGCCTTCAGCTGTCTTCATTAGTGTCGAAAACACTGCTTTCTGTACAATTTAAGACAGCATCTTTGAATATATTTTCTGCTGGAGATACTGTTGTCCTAAAACACAAACAAACACAAAAAACATTGAAAAAAAAAATCTTACATACAGTATATCTTAGGAACGGTATTGCAGAAAATGTTTACGGTTTTAAAACCTTGACTTCCAAACCGCGGAATACCTTAAAAACAGTTATCATCCTATGCCTATAATAACCTCTAATGAACATAACTCATGTGATGCTACAAATCTGCAAAGATGACGAGTTGTCAAAACTGAACAAGTTTAGAAATTGCAAAATTCATCTAATCCAACTTTTATAGAGATTAAACACTGATACTGCGATCATATATGTGTGAGTTCATTTGAAATATTAAAGATCTCATTTTCGTCTAAACCAAAAATCCAAATTTGTATTAAAGCATGATCATACAAAAAAAGCATACTGTCAAGTTCTATAAAACCCCCAATCATCCTCTCCACAATAGTACGCCTTTTTTTATAAAGTTCAATTAACAACTTTAAAATCCATGAACCCTTCTCTAAAATACCCTTAAAGTTATAAAAAGTGCTTCATAATTAAAAACACTCTTGAGGCTCCATTCATTTCAACTCTCGTCCACTTGTTTGCACCCACTAGTGAACTTCCATTAGGCAAGTGCACTTGGGAAAGTGAAAGCAAATAATGTCAAGATCCAGCAGTCATCAGAAAGCCTCCAACAACAACTTTTCAGTCAGAACTACAAACAGCGGCTCTGTCACGGAGCGAGACGAACAAAGTAAACTTGAATATTACGTCACCAAAATAAAATGTTACACACACATATAAGAGGGGGAGGGGGGACGGCAGCAGGTTTAGCTTCTTTGCTAACAGAAACCAGCCATTGGTGGTGGCACTGCTATAGCATGCAACTGGCTAACTGGCAGAACAGACATTAGCAGCTGATCTCGATGTCATCATTGTTCTCTTACCAGTGCCCTGGACTTCGGGAGTCCCGGTGGAGCTCCAGGGAGAACAAAGGCGCAGGCTTTAGTGTGTATCGACAATGAAGATCAGTTCAAAGAGCGAGTGCAGTGCTCAGTGACTGTGGAGGTCTTCACCAGGTGCTTCCATGTCTGTTTACCAGGCAGCATTCTGGGACAAGAACGTCACTGACTGACTCCAGCAGCACGCATGCACAGAGTCCGCCTGTCACTGGACGGGCTGGCGGTGTGTCAATAACAAACGCGCTCACTTCGTAGACAGCATTCAAGAGAATCGTATGCGGGTTTCTAGCGTTCCAGTGTTGTTTAGGGGGGTGTTTTGTTGTTCGGGGTATTTGAACCCGTTTACGATACATTTTCGAGCGTTTTAGACGAGCCCTGATGCTTAAATATGCTGTCTGGATAGGACGCTCGGTTGTTTTTGAAACACAGCCAGCGAGCTCACTTCGTTATAACGTTAGATCAATGTCAAACTGCAGACATATTGAGGATTAAAACCACTAATCGGGGTCACATACGGGCTAGTAAACTTTGAAATGACTTTGGCGATATAATAATAGAAAACATACTTGCTGTAGCGATAAGTGAATCTTTGGGAGCAGATCTTTTTCAGTTGAACCGATTCACAAAACTGATTCGAGTCGCCATCCAAATGAACTAGAAGAATGAAGCATCTCTTTTGGTTGTGTCTATGGTTAACTTATGGTTTATTTATTTCTGTTGTTGGTTGGGTTTTTTTTATTAAAATATAATTTGTATTTTTGAAAATAATTTGATTAAATGCATTTTATTGTTTATTTCTATCTTATTTTTTAATATTTTGTATAAGTTTACACTTATTTGATTATTTTAACACATTTTTAAATTTCGCTTTTGGCACCAATGCAGTTCCAGTTTGACAAAATAATATATATATATATATATATATATATATATATATATATATATATATATATCCTAATGAATTTGCATACAGTTTTCACATTTTTTTGAAAGTATATAATAATGAAAGAAACACAGCAAATCAAATTTATATTGTGGATTAGGTTTTTCTTGTTCTTTTATTTATTCATTTATTTTCTTTTTGGCTTAGTCCCTTTATTAATCTGAAGTTGTCACAGCGGAATGAACCGCCAACATATGTTTTACGCATCGGATGCCCTTCCAGCTGCAACCTATCACTGGGAAACATCTTTATACGCACTCAGTCACACATATACACCACAGCTAATTTAGCTTACCAATGTGGAGAACATGCAAACACAGAAATGCCAACTGACCCAGCCGAGACTCTTGCTGTGAGGTGATTGTGCTAACCACTGCGCCACCGTGACACCCTTGTCTTTCATTATTATAGAATTTTAAAAGAATTGTATGCCAATACATTAGGCTTTTATTTATGTATATATGACAGTAGTTTTCGAACTAATTTGTAATGAGTCAGTAACAAGTGAATGAGTTGACATGATATATTTACAGAATTTGTGGTGTTTTATTTATTAAAATAACATTTTTTTGTGAGCTGAAACATGACTACAACAAATGTTAATAGCAACTTAAATGAAAGACTGAATCATTATTATTTTTATTATCGTTTGTATTTTCCTGGTTACGCAGTGGCGCAGTAGGTATTGCTGTCACCTCACAGCAAGAAGGTCGCTGGTTCAAGCCTCGGCTGGGTCAGTTGTTGTTTCTGTGTGGAGTTTGCATATTGTCCCTGCGTTTGCATGGGTTACCTCCGCGTGCTCCAGTTTCCCCCACATTCCAAAGACATGCGGTACAGGTGAATTGGGTTGGCTAAATTGTCTGTAGTGTATTAGTGTGAATGAGTGTGTGTGGATGTTTACCAGAAATGGGTTGCGGCTGGAAGGGCATCCGCTGCGTAAAAACGTGCTGGGTAAGTTGGCGGTTCATTCCGCTGTGGCAACCCTGGATTAATAAAAAGACTAAGCTGAAAAGAAAATGAATAAATTAATATTAACTTTCTATATTTTAAAGAAACACTTTTTAAACAGTCTTGATAAACAGTTTCCTAATGCCATGACTATCAAAAACAAATTGATTATACAATATATCTGGAAGCCATGCAGGAATGGCTTAAAACATAAAATGTATCTGGTCAATAACCTTGGCAATATAATGATGAGAACTGTCAGATTGGGTTGTAGATATGTGACACTCTTGAGTCTGATATTTTCTGTGAATAAGTTAAAGAAGATCACAAAACTGATTCAAGTCATGATGCAACCAACACTGAACTGAGAACTGCTGCTGAAATGAAAACAGCATAAATTAGACTACTGCTCTTACTACTATGGCAGAAACAGTAAGACTTTGTTCCATTTTGAAAGGCTCATCCATATCCCCTATAAAACCTTTGAAGAAGGGAGTGTATTAGAGGGATAAAAGGTGTTGGTCACAAAAAACCATGAAAAGAGTCTTTATCATTGTACACTTTGAGTTTCTTCATTCTTTTTAAGTGGGCAGTTTTTACCTTTTCGGTTTGGAACAAGTCTTCAGTATGCAATCCATAATTCTTTAAAAGTGCCCTTTAGAGGCAGATTTATCCCATATGGAACAGAGTCATAATTTAGCAAGTACATTTTCCAAAATAGAAGAGCTAAGTATCAATAAGCAAGTGAGCAAACAAGGCATTTTATTCATTCATTCATTCATTCATTTTCTTTTTGGCGTAGTGCCTTTATTCATCAGGGGTCACCACAGTGGAATGAACCACCAACTTATCCAGCAAATGTTTTACACAGCGGATGCCCTTCCAGCTGCAACGCAGTACTGAGAAATATCTATACACACTCATTCACTACGGCCAATTTAGTTTATTCAATTCACCTGTACCGCATGTCTTTGGACTTGTGGGGGAAACCGGATCACCCGGAGGAAACCTACGCAAACACAGGGAGGACATGCAAACTCCACACAGAAATGCCAATTGACCCCAGCTGGGGCTGATTCAGCGACCTTCTTGCTGTGAGGTGACAGTGCTACCCACTGTACCACCATGTCGCTAGCGCAGTCAAATAAAGTTGGTTTTATATTTACACATTTGTTCATTTTAGCAGTCTTTATATTGTTTACCATGCTAATTTGAATTTGCGTCTGAAATCTCATCTATGTATGACTTCAAAACAACATTAGCACAATTTAATTGACTGTGATCAATGTTGTAGTTTGGGGTGATTAGATTAAAGACACAGCAAAAGCATCAAATGAAGCAGATTAATTTTATAACACCAGGTAAATCTTTCTGACACCTTTATGGCAATCAAATACTTTAAAAATAAATACAGGCTACAACTTAACATAAAGGATGGTCTCCGAGTGGCATTCTCCAAAATTAAATAATGAATAGACTTGGGTCTATTGCTATGTGTGCACCAATGTGTAGAAGGTTTATATATTTATAACCACCTCAGAGGATATTGGGGGTTGCCTGTCACTGGCATTGTTATTTTGGGGCTCACGAGTTAAAAAGTTTGGGAACCCCTGACCTACAGGTATACCTTGTATGATTACATAGAATTTTTTTGCAAATAATTCTTTTCTTAAATATAATTATTATATAATAATAAAATTATTATGGAGATAAATTCACATTTTAATTCATGTTGAATTATTTTCATGTCTACGTAAAAAGCTTTGTATTCATACACTGAATCATAATGGCACAAACTGAACTGACGAAGCAAAAGAAAGATGGATTTTAAAACGTCTTATTATTTCATAATATACTATGTTATATGTAGCCTATGTAGCCAGAGGGGGTTCAGAAAAAAAAAAACCTTACTGACAAATGTGCAGAATTTGTCCCATTCATGAGCTCACATGTCGTATTTTGACTGCTATATGCCATCATAAATAGTAAAGATAACCCATTAAAAAGGCATAATCCTCTGTTGGCTGTTGCTTCGGTGTGACTTCAGCAAATCAGTCTTGGTCAATGCTAACAAATGTTTTTGATGATCAACATCTAGCTGTGTAGGAAATCACACAATCTGACATAAGTGACGTCATCTTTCGCTACTGTTTGTAAACGGAGAAAACGTTTTACAAGTAACTTTTGTTCTAAATCTTGGAACTTATCTTGAAACTAAAAATGAGCAATAAAAAGGGTGGCCTATAGTAAAATTGATTTGAATACTAATTAGGCTATTGTTATCCTTAATTTTCAAATGCACTTTTTAACATGTAAGGCTAGAAAATTGTAAAGCTTTTATTATTATTATTTTTTATTATTGAAATGGCCAAATTCTGACTGAGGAAATTGAATGTGCTGGCTAGATTGTTATTTGCCTAATAAATGACACTAGACAATAGTTTTTAATTTAAAACTTTTTTAGATTCCTAATGTATTTTAAAAAAGCTAAATCATGATTCATAACTGAACTGACGATATTGCTCAAACAAATTGACGAGTCTTATGGAACCACACTTTAAAACGAACAGTTCAAATGAACCGATTCGCGAAAATGAATCTCATTTCTCAATACTGTCAAAAACTAAACTAACTACCTACTAATACAGTATTTCTGAAAGACACGCTATCAGTCGACTAGTCTAAAACGAGTTTTCAGCAAAACATTTAAATGACTTTGTAATAATAAAGTAAAAGCTAGCCGTTCAGAAAACTGTCGTGAGCTCGGCGGGTTTGCTTCGCAACAGAGGCGGGGCGCTGATGCCTTGCGTGTCCGCGCGCGCCTGACAATAAAGTTTTTTCTAACAGTCCAGTTAGCCTGCTGGAGAATGGGTAGCATTACTGATGGTAAGATTTTCCTTTGTTTTATTTTTCTTAACTATCATGTAATTGTAATTTATGTAGCAAATCTGAAGGAATTATTACAGTAGCGTACGTCCATGTTTTTATTTCCTGGAAACTAAACGAACTCCTTTGAAATGTCTACATGAGGAGTCTTAGCTAACAGTTAGTTAGCCACATGCTAAAACTGATTAACTAAAACAAGTTACAAGATGTATAAGTATAATTTATTACGCTGACTTTGGTTTTGGATAGGCATTACAGTGATATAAAATATATTGGTAAGTATAATATGTAAATACGATAATATGAAAATTTGATGGCACCCTTCTGACACTTTTCAATGTTGGATCAATCAGTTAAATCAAGCATCAAGGTTGGAAAATAAACTGATTTTTGCTGAATTTAGAGATTTACTTTGTTTCAAAAATAATCAAGCAGAATATATATATATATATATATATATATATATATATATATATATATATATATATATATATATATATATATATATTGTGCCACATTTAGTCACTGAATACAATTTACAGTATAATATCTGTGCTATGCTATTTAGACCTATATTTAGACTAAATAATATCTATGTCTCCTCCCTCACAGATGAGGTTATTCGGAAGCGTCTTCTGATCGATGGAGATGGAGCTGGAGATGACAGACGCATTAATGTGCTCATGAAGAGCTTCACCAAATGGTGCCACTCCAGTTTCTCACCAGAGGAGGGGTAATTTACATTCTGGTTTAACTTTATACACCTGACTTGATAAGATTTTTTTTTTCTTTTCCTTTAAAATATTCCACTGATTAGTTACCACGACCTTGGGTGTAATTACTTTATCATTCATATGTGTCTGCAGGATGTCTCAGTATCAAAGAATGATGATGTCCTTGGCTCAGTGTGAATTCTCAATGGGGAAAACCTTGCTTGTGTACAACATGAACCTGAAAGAAATGGAGAATTATGAAGGAATCTATACCGATATTGGTAAGACTTCTTGTTGACTTCCCTGCTTTTTTCTTTTGGGTTGATTGGATTATATGCTGACAAGGGAGACACATTCCTGTTTGCACTCATTGTTTTAATCTACATCTTTTGACTATATTAAATATTACTTTGAGGGGAGGATATTAGGCATGGGCCGGTATACGTTTCTGACGATATTATAACCTTGGATAAAAATATCACGGACACATGGTATTATGATTACTGCTTTGAAATATATTCTTTTTAAATGTCTGGGTAAAAAACAAAAACTTTGAACACTATATTTTACTTTGATAAACATTTAAATTATTTTGGAGCAGTGAATATGCCAGGCTAAATAATTCAAAATGAATCATTGATTTCTTTCCAATTTAAAACAACCTCTTTGGATATCTTTTCTGCTGGAGATACTGTTGTTCTGAACTCTATTTATACCGTAGCAAGAGTAAAGCAGAAAATTAGGACTTTACTTTTCCAATGCGCAGTATACCTTGAAAACGGTTATCATCCCATGCCTACAGGATAAAAGGGTGGGTGTTTGTGTAAGCTTTTTCAATTATTTCTAATATCGCAAAATAACCTTGCATAATAGAAAATGATACAGAGTGCTGCAGCCTTCATTTCTGCTCTGGTGGCTACAAAACTACACCTAATTCAGATCAGTGTGTTAAATCTGTGAATTGTTTATCGTAGACTCTCTTTGATCAAATAATTTGAATCAGTGAATCATTCAAGGGAGATACTCAGACTGAAAAGATCATTCAAATCAGTGATTTGTTGACTCGTAAACATGTCTATCCAATTCGCAAATTAATTGTTCAGTGCAATTTGTGAATTGATTTAACTGGCTAACTGATAAAATTCAGCTTGTTCACGAATCAAGTTGGATTCAAAAGTGCAGTATTTTGTTTTGTATTCTGATTTTCAATCAGAACTTTTCAATCTGCCTTTTATCAGTGATTTTTATGGCGAGTTCAGACTGCATGATTTTCAAAGTAGTCATGTCACAGATGTTTTCACCCTGTATGACTGTCGGGGGTAGCATTTCATCGCTGCTTTGTTTACCCTGCAAGATGGATTGGCAACGGGGGGTTCACACTGTATGATTTAGAATAGGAAGAATTGGCGACAACTTTGTCCCGGTCTACAAACTACATCTCAAAACCAAGCACAGAAGAAGTGACATGGAAATAATGTAGTATATCTTTTGTCATGAACTATATAATGAGAATAAAGCCTTTAGTGGGGTAGAAAATTTACTTATTTTGCTCACTTGGCCTTTAATAGGAATTAGCAATTTCTCCTCAACTTTTTCTTTTTCGACCCGGTTGCTCAGATGACACTTCAAACAGAAACGAGTGCTCCTGCCAAATTTACACTAGTTGTTCCTCCATTTTTTGGGGTCCAAATAGACAAAATAGAAGCACTTTTAACTTGTTCCCCAACCTCCCGCTGGCCTGCAGATTTCACACGGCATGATTTGAATCGTCGACAGATCCAGCTGTTTAGCACACTGAATATCTCACAGGTGTCTACGACACATCACCGATTCTCACTGATTCCGTCTTTGATAGTTCATACTGTGTGGTTGATACTTGCGTGAATGAGTACCTATTTGCCTGTGATTTCAGGCATTTTTTGCAATTTCTTGAAACCTGTTGTCGAGTCAAAAATCAGGGCTAAAATCATGCAGTTTGAATTTGGCATTATTTTGCTGAGTGTTCTGTATTTTTATAGTTATTATTTTATTATTTTTTTGTTTAGAAAGGAAAGGTCATTTTGTTTGAGCTTACTGTTTGAAAGTATTATTTTATTATTTGTTAGTATGTTTTAAGTTATTTTTTTTAAACTAGTTAACACACTGCATTTTAGCATTAAAAAGCTACAATACAGATTATTGAGCTGAGGCTTGACTTCAAATTTAAATCGCAAACCAAATTGAAATCACAATATCTGTCAAAAAATCTATTAGAAATTTCAATTAGAAATTTTCGCCGGAACTGGTAAGAGAACATTGTGCTTTTTTTTTTTTGCCAAAACTTTTGAGAAAGTGGTTGATAGTGAAAAAAAACATGTTAATACCAGGTGTACAAACAAACCATTAATACTTATTCAATTATTTACTGTAGCAACATGTTTTTGTTTCTTCCAATACAGAGAAAAGTATTGCGTCAGCACATGAAAAAATTGCAGAGTGCAAAAAGGAAATCCAGAGAGCGAAAAGGATACGAAAAAACCGACAAGGTATACTACATTTTGATAATTATTTTTTTTTACCATTTAATTTGATGAATTTTTTTCTGTCTCTAACTTAACCATTTTGTTTGTAGAGTACGATGCTTTGGCCAGAGTTATTAAGCAACATCCAGACAGACATGAGACCTTAAAGTAAGTTTGGTGGAGACATTCTTATTTCATTTAACACATTTGTATTTTCCAGAGAGTTAGAATATATTATTTATATACTTATCTATCAAAGTTTTAATTTTTTTAATGCTAGGATTGGTGTGAAAAGTATATTTAGTGTATTAAATCAATAGTCTGCGTGTTTTTTATTTAAAATGACAAACAGGATGTCCAGTGGCAGAGATGTATATTGACCCACCAGTTATTTTGTGATCTCTTTTTTTCTGCAGGCAGCTTGAGGCTTTAGACAAAGACCTTCAGCAGCTTTCACACATCAAAGAGAATGTGGAGGACAAGGTGAGGCACTGTGCTTTTTCTACAAATTAAATAATACACCATCATAGACTAAAATATTTAACCTTATCTTATTTTTGTTTAACCAATCTTCAGTTGGAACTTCGTAAGAAACAGTTCCACGTCCTCCTTACCACCATTCAGGAACTTCAGCAGACTTTGGAGAGTGAGTAGTATTAACTGAATGATGGCTAATGGACACACATTTGCTTGTGAACTGTTTTGCATTGTCAACAATTAGTTTTTATTCAGATCAGATTTTTGCCTGTGGCCTGTTGTACAAAAGAGTTTGAACAAACTAAGGGTGCAGACTCTGAGTAAGTTTCAGGTTGACAAAACCAAACAAATCCCGACTGATTAAGATCAGGTTAAGTGGTTTCACAGCACTTGATATGATTGCTCTCTGGGTTTAGTCCAGTGTTTGGGAATTAAGCTGAGGTCACGCTGCACTTTTTGCTCCAGACTTCAATTCATACACAAGTGAATGCGGCAGACTGGAAAAGCAAGCTCATGCCACAATCAAACTACAGTTTGAGCATGCAAAATTCTGACGTATGGCTCTGGGAAAAGGGGTGGGATTTAACAAGATGATTTGACAATTAAAAAAAGCGGGCGATTGGTTCATATTTTACATTTCTGTCCAGAGAGGTCATGTGGTCTCATGCAGTCACGTGATGCCATTTTGCAGGTCAGAGTATACCAAGCTTGAACTTTGCAGTGCAGCGAACTGCGTAACTTGTGGCACAAGCTTGTGTTTCCAGGCTGCTGCATTTGCGTGGGTATGAATGGAAGGCAAAAAGTATAATGCGGCTGCAGCTCTTCTCTGGACCACATGCAACTGAATGTGTGATGCATGCAGCAAACAGCCAATCACATGAGATGTGTTTTTTGTGATGGGTTCAGTGCAGTTCACTCTCAGTTGAAGATTAAAGCCACGGTCACACTGCACTTTTCTCCCCATAGACTTCTATTCATATACATGCGATTGCAACAGACTATATAATATATAAAACGGATATAATGTATGTTAAAGAAAACTGGACTGACACAGTTTTAATTTACCAGAAATTCTATGTTAAGCTAATTTGACACAATCTACATTGAAAAAGTTTTATGAATTAATTTTGAGAGGAGCATATGATATGATTAAGCATGGCTGGATTCTCATCGGTAATCAGTTATAATCCAATCAGATTGATCCAAATTTACCATAAATAGACCAATTTTACCCTAGTGCTTTATCTTCGTTTTGGAAGAATACCCCCTTTTACCCCATCTTCTCTTTTTCCTCCTGAATTCTCAAGACCTACCTGATCTTGGACCCCCATTATATGTTTATTGACCAAACGGGAGCCTTGGGCTCATTTATCTCCGAGCTCAGGGTTCTCTTCTGGGACAGCATGCCAAACCTGCTATTAACGCCACAGTGTTTCTTCTAGGATTTTATCCACCTGTGGCATTATTTCAATGACAAATGCATCGAGTGCAGTATCGCAAGTCGAGATCGCATTTATGTATTGGCCGACGAGCCTTCGAATCTTTTTGCTTGCGCGTCGATTTCTTTTGCTCATGCACAAAACTTCTTGCATGCCCCCCTCAAATATATGCTGCTCAAGCGCAGATCTTCTTATGCGTTCTCAAATAAATGCTGCTGAAGTGCGATTTAGTGCGTTTATGTAACAAGTATGTCTTCAACATTTATTCGATTTGCTAGGAATATTTATGAATGTCTCCAATAGACCTACAGAGCGGCATTAATGCGTCCTGAAGTAAAATGAAACGGCTATACGTCGTGTTTGCTGGCCTCACACATCACTAACCTGTCAGTCAGCCAGCCAGCACGTCACCTTAAAGGGTTAAACAAATGAAGCACAGCACTACTACGATTACAGAAAAGTTTGCGCTGTTCTAATTCACTTACCTTTTAATACGTTTTGGTGCGATTATCACCGGCTATTAAAAAACAGTCACGACTGAATGTTTTGAAAGAGAGGCTGTAATGTAGCCGTGGCGGGATTCATTTTGGCGTGGCGCCCTGCCATGGAAGAATAAATATAGAGGAAACCATATGCTAAGGAAATCAAAGTGTCCCATTACTCACTCTTGATACTTGAATTGAATTGAACAGACCGGAAATGCAAGCTTGCACAGTTCGCTGCATTGCAAAGCTTGGTGAATTCTGTCCTGTGAAATCACATCAGACTGGGTTTCTGCTTGGTCTTAAAAAGTTTAAAATTTCAAAAGCCAATTTACTGAAATTTTGTGTAGGTCTTAAATAATTTTAAACGGGTCTTAATTTTCCTATGTTAAACGGGCAGATCAATCACCAATCATCCTACTCAAAACTGTAGTTATCTTCCTTACAATAACATTCGTTTTTAAAGTTTCCATAAACTGTTGTGCCTAATGTTTATTATAGTTTTTTTAAAAACTATTATTCACTAGATTTTGCTTGTTTTGACACATTTAAACTATGTGGGCGAGGCAGTGGCGCAGTAGGTAGTGCTGTTGCCTCACAGCAAGAAGGTCGCTGGGTCGCTGGTTCGAACCTCGGCTCAGTTGGCGTTTCTGTGTGGAGTTTGCATGTTCTCCCTGCCTTCGCATGGGTTTCCTCCGGGTGCTCCGGTTTCCCTCACAGTCCAAAGACATGTGGTACAGGTGAATTGGGTTGGCTAAATTGTAGAGGTGTGAACCTATACTGGTCTCACGGTTCGGTTGGTTTACGATTATCATGGCTTCGATTCGGTTCAATTTGATATCTCGGTGCATCACTGTGCATTGACGATGCTTTCTAAATACAGTGTTATATTTTAGGGGGGAGGCTGTCTGTACAGACACACAGACACACAGCACCACACTGTCTCTCATTTAAACACAAACATACTTTTCCAACACTTTTCCAACGGCCCCTTACGGAGAGCTCCTCTCAGCTCGAGCTCTCCCGGCTAAACACATATTGCGAGGGCTTAATGCTCAATGTCGAGCGAAAAAAAAGAAAGACAGCTGTGAAACATAACCAGTTTTGTCTTTTTGTAGGAAACACACTTTAGATCTTTTTAGGGTAAGAGGTTTTTGAGTTATTGCCGTCTATAACTGAATGTGTGTCAGGAAAATCGAAAACAAAACCAACTGAACCGCGCTCATTTCTGGCGCCCCCCTGGATGTACAGCGCCCTATGCATATGCCACGTGCCGGCCCTGAGTTGCCTAAGTGTTGTAAATACTCGCGCTCACCTCCCTCGCGACAGAGCGCATAGGAGATAAATGACGTCAGTACATAATAACCGGTTATGATTATTACTGAACCGTTACAGAATTGTCCGCGTCTGCATCGCAATGCACCGAAGAAACAATTAATTTTGACACCCCTTCTAAATTGTCCGTAGTGTATGAGTGTGTGTGTGTGAATGTGTGTGTGCATGTTTCCCAGGGTTGTGGCTGGAGGGGCATCCACTGCGTAAAAACTTGCTGGATAAGTTGGCGGTTCATTCCGCTGTGGCAAATAAAGGGACTAAGCCGACAAAAAAATGAATGGATAAACTCTGTGGTAATCAAAATTTCGATGAGGCAAGTTAAAATCTTTTTCATTGGCCCAACCATAGAAAAACCTTACCACCATAAAAGTCTGAAATTTGCTTCATAATGGTCTTAAATTTGACTTGGAGAAACCTGTAGAAACCCTGTCACATGACTCCATGAGACAAATCGAAGACCCAAACATGACCTCTCAGGACAGAAATGTAAAATATGAACTAATCGCTCACTTTTTAAAAATGTCTAATTGTCTTGTTTAATCCCGCCCCTTTTAGCAGCACCTTACAACAGAATTTTGCATGCTTAAACTGTTGTGTGACCTTGGCATAACAGATAGAATTTTCAGAAGTTTTAATACTTTTTATAAGGCAGAAATAATCAATGCAGCAAAGGTTGGAGAAGCCACAATAAAAGCATGCTCCGGTGCAGATTAGTCATGTGCTAATTACCTTGGTGATGAGATCTGATCAAAACCAACCCACTTTTTTTGAGCCAGAAAACTCAGAGTTAATATAAATTAAAAGCAAACTTACCTGGGTAAAACCCCACTCTGGCTTTGTGCAACAGGCCTCAGATGCTCTGTGAATGTTCTGTTTATGCTATACTGTCTGTTGTGTCTTACACAATTTTTAGATGATGAGAAGATGGAAAGCGACGATACCCAGGACAGCCCGATGGAAAACGGAGACTAGACATTTGCATTTGTACAGTTTTCTTAAGATGTTCTTTTATTTTTCAGGAGCTCATATTAATTTTTTTTCATTTTAGTCTGTTTTTTGATGTTGGCAATGTACAGAATTAAAGCAGTTTCATGATAAACTAAATCTGTTTAAGTTGGGTTTGTTCAGTTTCAGAGTATATGGCCTCTATAGGGGAATATTTGGAGTTTTGAGAACCACATAAAACTCTTTTTGTTATTAATTAAAAACAGTAATGTGCACATTAGTTTTGTGTTGTGTAGTTCAATCCAGAGCCTTCATAAATTATTTCAACTGCAAAACTGTCAAAGCACAGAGACTATAATATAAACCGAAAAAGGTTTATGGCGGGTTATGTTGAGGTATGTTAATATCAAAATGACTTTGTATAAAGATGTTTGATGGATACAAAAAAAGGAAATGTAAAACCTTGCAAGCTGGCGCACATTAAAACTATAAACATATTGCTCCAAACATTGTGAAGAGCTGGAAGATGCTTACAATATTGTCTGAAATAAGACTAATTAGACGTTTTGGACCAATAAAACTGGATTAAAATTCAAATTGAAATAGAAGTATAAAACAAGAAGTGTTTTTTTTTTCTAAACAAAGATTGGCCAAGCACATTTACACCAAATATTTATAGTAATTTTAAGCCATTTACTGGAGCGATGTATATGATAAGTGTCTCTGAACCAGCAGATGTCGCTGTTGGTACAATGTTTAGCAGGATGTTTACATTATTACCATGTTACTGGAGTTTAAAGTCCTGAGGAGATAATAATCTATCTGTTTAGTCATACTATCTGTATTTCTGTTATTCGTTCTAGGTATTTGGAGTTTCTCATATCTATTAATACATTCACTGTCTGTCTGTCTGTCTGTCCGTAATAGTGAAGTCGTGAAGATCTTAAATCAGTGTTAAGTATTGGTGACGTGGGTTAAATGCTCAGAAGTGAATAATATTGCTCATAAGCTGAAGGTTATTGTGAGCAGTTCTCGCAGTGTGTGAGTGAGTCTAATGCCTTCAGACGTGCAGTGTGGACACAGAGGCTGAAAGAAGAAGCTGCAAGATCACACTCAAAACAGACGGGTTATCAACAGAAAGTAATGCAAAAAATATAGGAGCATTCTGGATGTTTTAAAGGGGAAAATAAATCTTTGGTATCCCCAGAATGTGTGTAAAGTTTTAGCTCAAATCGCACCACAGATTGTTAAATTTAACTTGTCAAATTTAAGTCAGCAACATACCATTAGTGTGCACGTCTTTTTGAATGCAAATGAGCTGCTGCTTTCCAGAAGAGTGTGGGTATGGGGCCTTTATGCCACTCTGACAGTCCAGAAACAACAAAACAAGCATATCTAATGCAGTCAAAATATCGAAAATGACCAGCAGCGGATTAAAGCCTTACATTTTGAAAGCGGAATTGGACTATGAAAGGAGAAGAAGTGGTTACAGCTTCTACACTGAACAAGGACTGCATTTTTGAATGGTAAGTGGATGCGTTTATGTTGTGTAAACTTGATTCACCTCATTGCTAATGCTCTGTTCTAATGTGCTGGCTTTTGCAATTAAACATAACACTATCAGTACAATTTTCACATCTTTATAGAAATGTAAAAAGTCAGTCACGTGACTAGACATGACATTTTAGATGTGGTTTTAGCTCTGGTCTTTAAATATTGTCACAGATAATGGTAATTGGTAACTTTAGCCAGATTAGCTGAGCCGCATGTAAACAAACACAGTTAGAGAGGAAATTTGAAACAATTTTAAAATATGAAAGGAAATACTTTAATATGAAGTTAGAACATTATTGAGTAAGTATTGATACTATAGGGGTGTAACAGATCATTGATCCTTGATTTGTACAGGTCACATGCTGAGTCCCAACTCGCATACTATCCATCCTATATAGTAGGCTGATTGAAAATAGAATTAGTATATCCCAAACCATAGTATGTTGAAAAATAGTATGCCAGAGGTTCCCGGATGGTTTGCTATTTCAGTAAAAATATTAAGCGTAGAAGCGTCCTTACTCTAACTGCTGATATTGCCCACATTACATTGCATCAATTCGATTAGAACTACAAATGCGTGTGAAAAGTGTAAATAAACTACAAACATTATGGGCATGTGAGACCAACCGTCAAGTAGAGAGGCTTCAGTAAAGATGTTTGAATGACTGTTTGTCAACATCTAGCCCACTGGAAAATATTTAAATCGCATTATCTGCAACAACAATACTGAACTTATATAAAGACGCGTTTGGACGTCTGAATGCAGAATTATCCAAAGACCTGAGGAGATTTCTCTGCACGAAAGACTCATGAATGGGAGATTAACCTGCTGCTGTTTCTCCAATAAGGTAGGAAGGAGTCAGAGGCACGACTCCAGAAACTTCCGGGAGACTTGGGATGTCTGTTGAATGACCTCCCGGCTCCCGCCCTACTCATAATTCTCTCTTTATATAGCTATATGCCTATTAGATATCCATAAAACACAGTGATATTGCCGGACTCGGATCGTATTGATTTCTCACTACAATCGATCCGCTCCAGAGTTCGTTTCAATCGAGCCGAGACCACCTCATTCAAGCGATCTCAGAGCGATTGTTTTGGGGTGGATCCAAGCGCGATTGGTGGTTTCACATATGCCAAACTAACCACGCTAACTGGGCAAACGAGACATGCTCTGAAACAAAAGCCTGGGTGTGGAAGCACCCCAAGTAACACAACGATCTGTTAAAGAGGAATCAGTATGTCCCAAAGCTTGCATACTTTTCTGTTGCACACTCAAAAGTATAAACTTTTCCTTCACAAAAACAGTACATACCTTTAGGGTGTAGTATAAGTATACGAATTGAGATGCAGCAACAACCGGTTCAGAACACACGTGATCTGTGGATTATTAGGCCTACATTTATTAATCTGTAGATTAATCCTAATTTGCCTCATTCAAATCACATGTATGAAAGCATTTAGGCCTACCTGTAAAATGTAATGATGATGAAAGAAGTTGTAGTAGGTTATTCAGGATGTGGTGGGTTTCCTAGGTGTTTTCTGTTTTCTGTACTTGTTTAACCTGCATTAATGGATTCAGTGTAAGCAGCACAATTAATTATTAAAACATCTCAATCCCCACGCAACATAAATTATAAATAATGGTGATTGTCATATGTTTTTATAATCTTTAGAGATTGAGTCTTAAGTCTTTTGAGTTAGTTATGAAGTTACAAGTCAAATAACACAGACGTGCTGGGATAACAGTTTAGTTTAGATAAAACCACTGATGTTTATGGTAAAGATTAAAATGACCGTCATGTGTATCTAATGACGATCAAAAATGAAAAGGTAGCCCTTTTGCTGACACGTTGTAAACTGAAAATCCATAACAAAACTGGAGGGTGGCGGGAGATGGGTTTGAAATACGGGAGACTCCAGGGGAAAAACAGGTATGTTGTCAGGTATGATTGTAAACTGAGTGAACAAATAACTGCTGCAGTATTGCTGTGGGTGGAAACGTGGAGACTTAAGGTTGGAAATATAAAATAAGTTCCCCTTTCAGCGGCACTATATGGAAGTGAAAAATATGAATAGCTTGAGTCTTCCATATCTAAAAGAAAATCTTACTAAAACAGTTGTCTGTTACCTTACTTTGTCCATTTATGTCACATTTTCTGGGTTGGTAAATGCACTAGGGACTCAATTATAGCTTTTTAACTCTAAAGTCATGGTTTCACAAGTTTTTACGTTTTGTATTTTTGACACATTTTTCCATTTAAAAAGGTTTCAAACCACATGTTTAGGAAACGCTTGGTGTTTTCTCTACACACAGTTTGGGGTTGGTTTAATCAGTAGTGTAGTGATGCACATTTTAAGATAACACACGCAATAGTTATTTGTGTTGTGCCCTCAGATCAGCTTCTCTGACATAAAGCAAGACTAATGCTCAGTTACATGTGCATTTGTAAATGAAAACTGTATGGAGAAATAACTAGAACACATATTCTTTCAAGTATAACAAAATTAAGCAGTCATAGAAAAAAATGTACAAGATTAATAATAGTTATAAAAAAGCTTATTTGGCCAATTTAACACTGGAGCTGGTATTATTAGCATTTCTACTATATTAGCATCACTGCTATTATTTTTATAATTGAAATAAATTGTAATTATTTGTCTGTTTATTTATTTATTTATTTATCTTTTTCATTTTTTCTTTTTCTTTTATTTACATGTTTAAAGGATACAACTAATTGTGTGGCCTTATTGACATAATCAGCAGAATAATTGTACAGAAGTGTTATAGTCTCTGAAATAAAAACATAAATAATTGTGATTAAAAAATATACATTTATGTTTGTAAAATATGTTTTATGTAATATATTTTTTTAATATAAAATATATATTTTATTTTTCTAAACAATTATAAAAAACAATAAAAAAGAAAGTTTAAATTTAAAAGTACAGACACTTGGTCATTTGCTTCAATATTTTCTCAATCAGTATATATATATATATATATATATATATATATATATATATATATATATATATATATATATAGAGAGAGAGAGAGAGAGAGAGAGAGAGAGAGAGAGAGAGAGAGAGAGAGAGAGAGACTTTATTAGGTACACCTGTCCAACTGCTCGTTAATGTAAATTTCTAATTAGCCAATCACATGGCAGCAACTCAATGCATTTTGTTATGTCCCATGACTGTTTTATTTTTGTTTGTATATTGCAGTTTTTTTCTGTTTCCTGACTTCTTTTGTTTACAGATTGCTGCCACCTGAGTTTAATCTGCACAGCTAATAAATTGAGCTGTAAAGGCTGGCTGCAGCCGACCAGAAGGCAAGGCAGAGGGGAGATGACATGTCTCACTTGAGCTGTTCCAGTCCCAGATACCAGGGGCTTCTTCCTTCTTTCATTTGTTCGTTCCTAGCGGTGTTTTACCCCTAGATTTAAGTGGGAACGTAACAATTACGTAGACATAGACATGATTAAGATGACCTGCTGTAGTTCAAATCAAGTCTCAGAATGGGGAAGAATGTTGATTTAAGTGACTTTGAACGTGGAATGGTTGTTGGTGCCAGACGGGCTGGTCTGGGTATTACAGAAACT